AGTTTGTTCTTGTCCAAATGTCCTGTGGTAATTCTTGACTCAGGGTCGAATCTGACACTTAAGAGTTTTAAAGGTCAGAGTCTCAGGATCCTGGAATCCCTGAATTTGATCTTTCTTATCACCCCTCTCCCACTCAGTTCCCCCAAAGAACTGTGCACACAAACAATTAAAGTAGAATGAGAGTCAAAGTCTGGGAGAAGCCAGTTTATCTGATGGAATTGGGACTATGGATTAATGGGAAAAGTCTTTTAATGAATCATTTTTTTAAATGATATCTTCAAACTCTTCCAAATAATTTTGGTTTTGTTTAAAATATTTTAATATGTCGTTAGTAAAAAACAATGTTATGTTGATTTTAAAGTTTTCCTTGTGTAAAGCATACCTATAATGTGTTATCTGTGATACTGTTTTGAATCCTTTAAATTTGTAACAAAGCGAGTCCCCAAAAAGATCACCGAGCCAATTAGCCAAATTAACAAAGTTTATTTTGAGTTCAAACCCGGGCTCCCACGTGCTGACACAGCAGCATCCAGCCAGAGAGTCCAGAATTGATGTCTGCCCCTCCTTTTATACCTCTGCTGCTCCCCTGCCCAACCATACACGCCATGATTGGCCATCCACAGTAGTTTGGGTATTTGTCCACCTCCAATTGGCTAGTCATAGCTCAGGGAAACAGTTTGGAAGCCTATTTGAATCTTATCGGTTACTTCAGATACAGGAATGCGGAAAAATCCCTTGTGCCCTTAAAAAGAAGAAGAATTCCACTTTATGGCAGTTGATCAATCAGGGTGGGATTTACCACAGGTGGGGGTTGTTTGTTTGTTAAAAAACCACTCAAGCGGGTGGGGTGGGGTTAACTATACTTTACCAGAAACTGAGTTTCTGATAAATGGTCCTTTCAAAATTGAAGGAACATATTGAAGACTTCTGTAGAACAGTCTAAAGGCAAGATCCTTGTAACTTTTTATTAATTCTTTCCTGAGACTTTTACACTCCTTTCATCCATGACAGGTTTACAGCAGTTTGGCCAACAAATGGCCTTCATTCTTTCCAAAGCATTCAGTTTTTTAAAATTTTATAAAAATTAAATTGCTCAATATTACTCAATATTTACCTTGTGACTAAGGTTCAGCAACAGGCAAATATCCCATAATGAAATAAGAGTCCGTTAAGATTCTGCATCTATGTGAATGTCATTATCCATAATAATAAACACAATAGAGATTATTACATTTTCAAAATCTTCAGCTTGTCCCTTTTCATCCTTTTGTAACTATATTAAATGTGCTTTTATTTTATTGATTTTCATAACATTTAACAAATTAACTTACAGTAGTATGTATAAATGCCCTAAGTAGTTTTGTAAACAAAAGCAACTTCGATTTTTTATTAACAATGATTTCTCAAATTTTAGCATGCATTTGAATCACTTAGAGATTATTGGAACAAATTACTGGATCCCATATCCAGAATTTCTGACCCAGGGGATTAATGGTACTTACTGCTGCTGCATATTTCTGATTAGTAATAACCCTGTGGTATGGAATGCAACTGCCCTCATGGGGTTTCAGTTTGATGGTGGGTTCCCACTACTGGTCCTTCTTTAGAAGTCAAGGACTTAACCCTTGTATCATTAGTGTTCTTTAGTGTTCAACAGTGGTCACTGTTGTTGTTATGTCAAGTTGGAACCAACTCTTAGCTGATCCTCCAGCTGGTTTTCAGAGGCTGTAAACTGACCATCTTTCTTCCAAGGAGCATCTCTGTTTTTGGTTGGGTTGGCAGCACAGTTCTATGCACCAGGCCACCAGAGCTCTGGGTCCATAGTGGTTGTTGTTGTTAAGTACTGTCGAGTTGAGTATCATTCTGTGCAACCCTATGAACAACTGATCTGATAGCTTATCCTACTATCTTCTCAATCTCTGACCTACTCAAACCCATTGTCATGGTCACTGTGTCAGTCCACCTGGTGGAGGGTCTTCCTCTTTCACTGCCCTTCCATCTTCCCAAGCATGATGTCTCTCTCCAAGAAATATGGCCAAAGTATGTGAGACAGAACTTCATCAACTTTGCCTCCAAGGAGCTCTCTGGCTGTACCTTCTCCAAGACATATTTTAGCAGTCCATGGGATATTCAGCACTCTTCTCTGACACCACAGAAGGCTAGTGGTAGAGCCTAAGAATTTGGATTTCTAACTGGTTCTCAAATGAGGTTGATGCAGCTGGTTCTTAGACTTCATTCTGAAAACAAACATCACACAATTCAGTCAGTGGGAAAAGTGCAGAGATGTGCTGGACCACCTTGAATTCCACTGACCATCAGTCAACATTTTCAGAAAATGAAAAGCATTGATCTACCAGGAGTTGGGTAAATAAAAGTTCGCTTTAAAAGCTTCTTCTGTACTACTGTTTCAATACCTGAGTCAAAGATGGATATTCAATTCTAGAACCTTCTGGAAAAAGACTTCTAGGGCTTAGGCTTAAAGCCTAAGCCAAGTCTACAGCTTAATCCCAATCTGAATTTTGGAATTAGCATACTCAAGCATTTCACATGGGACAAAAATGGCTGGGCATTGAGATTCCATTGCATGATGAGGAAGTGAAAGAGAAAATTTAAGAAAGAGGGAGAGTCTAGTAATTTTGGGGTCCAGTGAACTGCCGATTCTTCATTGGGATAGTGCATGTGTCTGAGAACTTGGAGATCATGGCAGCAGCTACTCCCTTTGGAGGAAATATTAAAAAGTAAGTGATGAAAGATAGGCCTACCAGTTTGAAAGTGTAAAGTTACATATAAGCCAACCCTGAAATTAGAGACTGAGACATTTTCAAGACTGCAGGTTGGGAGAGATTTTTTTTTTCAAGACAGCAAGCATGAGGCGGTTGAGGGGGCTGCCACCTGCTCATACAATCCAGTGTAGACCGCAACATGGCCACCTGTTAGGACTAGGACACCATTAGGACTAGGACATGTAGCAGGGCTTGAAACGCTTTGACTTGAGTACCACTGTTGTTGTTATGTGCTGTCAAGTTGTCATAGCAACTCTATGTACAGCAGCCCTGAATCCTGCTCTATCCTTAGAGCTAATCTTAGACCCTCGATGAGCTTGACTCAGTGACAGGAGTTATAGAGGGTGGGTGTATCAGAGACAATAAGGTTGAATACCACTAATGTCACTATTAATTTAGTGATCTGGTGTGTTTTTTTAGAAAAAGGAAGAATTAACTTTTTTGTCATTAAATAAAATCTATTAACATTAAAAATACAAGGGAATTGTAATTCATTTATATGATGATATACTGCTTATTTGATGATACACCTATAGGCAAGATAATAACTCAATTGAATAGAAAATGTCTACATAAGTGCTTAAATATGTGTGTAAATGTCTCAGATTTGGAAACTCTTTTTTTTTAACTTTTAGCTTAATTTGATGCTAGCTCAGTATTTACATTGTGACTAAACTCTAACTGGCCAATATCCAATGATGAAATAAGAGTCCATTAAGACTCTGAGACTGCATGAACACTGTGATCCTACCATAATTATAAACACAATATAGATTGTCTGACATACTTTGGACATGTTGCAAGACAGGACCAGTTCTTGGAGAGGGATGTCATGCTTAGGATGGTGGATGGGCAGTGCAGGAGAGGAAGATCCTGGATGAGATGGATTGAAACAGTGACTTGGGCAATGGGGGTTGGTGTGTCAGAGTTAGTGAGACTGGCTCAGGACAGGGAAGGGTTCAGAGCTGCTGTGCATAGGGTCTGTATATATCGCAGGTGACTCAATGGCACATAACAGCAATAACATACTATGACAGGTTTGGAAGCAGGAGTAGCATCCGCTTCCTAAATAACATGCCTCTGGAAACTCTATGAACTTTGATAAATGTCGATAGTTGGAGGCAAAGATGACAAAGTTTCATGTCACATACTTGGGAATGTTACTAGGAGAGGCTATTCCGTGGAGAGGGTCATCTTGCCTGGAAAGGTGGAGGACTAACGGAAGAGAAGAAGCTCAGAAAGATGGATTGGCAATGGGCTCGAGAGTACGGGGGATGATCAGGATGGTGCAGGACAGGACCGGGCTCAGCTCTGGGTTCACAGGGTTGCTCTGAGTTGTACTCAACTTGACTGCACCTAACAACAACAACAACAACAACAACATAGCTTTAAGGAAAAGCCTAGAAATAAGAAATAAAAATAATTTTGTATTAGGAGGGTAGAGTTAGGGATGATTAAAAAAAATTCCTTCTGTAATGTTTTAAAATATTTTACTAACAAAAGCGATACAAAAAAATTAATACATATATACAATAAAGGAAAATCAAGCATTTGTGTTGTTGGTGATTGACTTCGAGCGGAGCACGACTCATAGTGACTCTGTGAACAAAAGGCCTGAAGCCCCTCTACAACTATCGACTGCCACTCTCAGCCCCAACTTCTCCTCTGCTCCAGCAAAGATGCTGCCTTTCCTCAGCGTTTGTTATTTTCTGGAATTCTTTTTTTTTTCCACTGTAAAAAATACTCCTATAAATAGCTTACTGTGTACAATTAATTTTATTCCATTGTTTCTTTGGGTGACATTTCCAGAGTGAGTGTTATTTAATTGCCTTCCCTAAAGGTTTATAATGCCACCCACTGTTAATCACACCTTTTCCTTGCTGTCAAGGCAGCACTACTGTGTTTTAGCCTATCTTTATTTTTGCTCGTTTAATAAATGAAGTGTGCCTTGTGACAGTTTTTATTTGTATTTAACTCTTAAATGCAAAAATTCATGTATACTTTAGTTTATCATCTGATACAAATTTCCTGATTTAGACTTCTATTTTTTTCTTTAAAAGGGGATGTTGTATAGTCCTATTTATTTATCCATACTTATCTTTAGACAATAATATGAATTCATGTTTGTATTTGTTGTGAGTATACTTCCACTCTGCTTTACCCTTTGCAGCTGTTTACATTTCCAATCCAATTCTCAATGTGTCATACTCTTCACAGCTGTGGACTATTGTGCCTCAGAAAACCATGGATGTGAACACAAGTGTGTGAATGCTGATAACTCCTACGTCTGCAAATGTCGTGAAGGATTTGCTCTTAATCCAGATGGAAAATCATGCACAAGTAAGTGATAACTCCCCTAATACTGACCTCTGCCAAAGTTGATAAAATGGTGGTCTAGTGATAAGGAGTTGCCCCTTCAACTCAAAGGCATGTGTTCAAGACCACTGCCTGCTCCATGGAGAAGGATGGGTGTTCTCCTCCTGTGCCATTTACAGCCTCTGAAAACCTGCTGGAAGGTGAGCTATAGGTTGGTTCTGACTCAACATCACATACTACAGCAGTATGGAATTTATAAGGAAATTTCCAAAACAGAGATTAGAACCCATTGTTGTCCAGTTCATCAACTCATAGTGGCACCACTTGTGTCAGAGTAGAACCATACTCAATAGAGTTTTCAATGGCTATGATCTCTAGGAAGTAAATAGTCAGGGCTTTCTTCCAAGATGCCTCTGAGTGGACTTGAACTTCTAACCTTTTGGTAGTAGCCCATCACTTCATCATTTGTACCACCAAAGCACTGAGCTAGATTAACCAATGATTGTGTATGATTGCGTCATCCTTGTTGTTAGGTGTTGGCTAGGAAATTATGACTCGTAGCAGCCCTATGAACAACAGACCAAAATAACAATAGATCAGATGTCTTGTCCCATGCCAACCTCATGACATGCTTGAGCCCATTGTTGTAGAGACTATGTTAATCCATCTTGTCGAGGGCCTTCCTCTCTTTCTCTGACCTTCCACAGTCCTCAGCATGATGTCTTTGTCCACGGACTTTTCCCTTCTGACAACATGTCCAAAGTATGTAAGACAGTTTCACCATCTTTGTCTCTAAGGAGCATCCTTGTTGCATTTCCTCCAGGAAAGACATGTTTGTTCTTTTGATAGTCCATGGTTTGTGTGATTGATGTTGTTAGTGTTAAGTTAGTGGACTTAAGGAAGAAATCAGAGAGAACAAGAGAGAGCTTAATACAGTTTTATTAAAGCGGGGGTAGCTCCCGGATGAGTTTGTCATTCTGAAGATGCAGAATGGGAAGTCACACTGTGAACTTATTGGGGAGGATTTTTATAAACAGAGTCTTTAGGGAGGGACATTCCACTCTGATTTATGATCCACCTGCTAGCTCAGGTGGCTGTTTGCTCTTCTTAGCAGCAGACAAGGCTGTCAGCATTTGAGTTCTGAATCCTGAATTCTTCTCTTTGGCCCCCTTTTCCCAGACTTAACAGGTGTCATCAAATCTATAGGACTCATAGTGACCCTATGAACAATGGATCTGAACCTTGCCCTATCCTGTATCATTCTCATCATCTCTGATATACTTGATCCCATTGTGAGTCACTGTGTCAATCCATCTTGGTGAGGGATTGAGTGGTGGAAGTCTTAATATTTTCTACCCTGTTCTTTCTTTGTCAGACCTTTCTTAAGACTGTACAACAAAGTTTATAGCTCCACTGTATCTCAACATCACCCTTCAAGGAAGTTGATGAAGTTCTCTAATCTCTGGAGACCATAGGTGGGACATTCTCCCAGCATCTGCTGAGCATGCTGGCAGCCAGACCCCCTTACTTCATATTATCTCAGCCAGCTGTGCCGATCAACATTTACAGGGTTTAAGAAATATTTTCATGGGAGCTTTGTGGCTTGTGGGCTTTAGCTCTGCCTCACAAAGGAACAGGAAAATCACCAAGTCAAGACAAGTTGAACAGGTTGCCTCTGGGTGGGATGGGATAGGTGTAAGTGGTTAGCAAAGAGCTACTTTCTTCTCTTTTACTGAAATATTTCATTCTATTTTCTTTTTTACTTTATACATAAAAGTAAAAATCAAATCTGAGCTCCTCATATCTTAACATCAAAGTCTATAAAGTAAAAGTGACCACTAATGTTGCAAAAGGATTTTACACTATTTTTTCAAATACTATTTAAAGGTCAGAGCCCTTCAGGGCTCCTGTGTAATAATAATCTTATTAAGATTCACTTAAAAGAAGCTTGTTTCTAAAGTTTTAAGACCCAGCATTTTTTAAAAGTGATGTTTAATAGGAATTTAAGATAATAAGACATCTCTGAAATATGTATCAGTGAGAAAATAGTACTCCATTTCATAAAAAATGAATGGGACATATTAAGTGAAAAATGTACATTTATAGACTTCCCTACCATGGGCCCTTGGAAATGAATAAGGCAAGATCCATCTTGGAGAAGATGCTTTGTATGAGTCTTGAAGGCTGAGCCATAATTTTCTGAGCAAAGAAGTTTGAGGTGGCCAGCGAGGGTGGAGGAGTGCAGGTAGGAGGCAGGGGCGCCTTCCAGGACAGGGGAAGATATATACATAAATGCAGAGATACGATCCAGACTAGAGTATCATGAATTTCCATGTTTGACACATGTCTGACATAGTGTTAATATTGGGTTATTGAGCAAACAAGTGAATGAATAAATGCTTCCTTTCTTATTTCCCTTTTCTTCTGAATATTTGGAATTATAAAAGCAGCCTGAGTTGTAGTAAAACTTAGAGAGTTAGGGTTGCTTGGCTGATGAATAAGTGTTCCCCCATCAAGAGCAGAGACTATGTGTTCCCAAGTTTCTACCATAGTTCAAATCTCAAATCCCATCTGCTCTGCATTAGCTGGGTAATCTTGGGCAAGTTATTTAAACCTCATTTCCCCTCACTGCAATAGGGTTGATAGGACTGCCAACTTTACAGCATTATCTCAAGAACTAAATGAGATAATTCATATATATATTTCTATATATGCCACTTAGCAAATTGCCTGGTGCTGAGTAAGCTCTTCCAAATGCTTCAATAGGCTTTTGCTAATAAGTATTCATTGAATATATATCAGTTGTCATCAAGTGAATTCCAGCTTATGGTAACCCTTTGTGTCAAAGTGCTCCGCGGAGCTTCAGTGACTGTTTTTCAGAAGCAGATCACCATGGAGCCTCTGGATGGTCTTGAACCCTTAACCTTTCAGCTGGGTATGTTAATCTTCCAATATCCAAGGGCTCCATTGAGCATAATCCTTCTCTAAGTTTAAAAGTGCATAAAAAAATTCAGACTTGGCCCCACATTCCCAAGAGTTTGTATGGGAAGCAAGTGGGTGACAGAAGCCAGACCCTCCCCAAGTAGGCTGGCTAGTATACAGGCTTTGGGGGACTGAGGACCCAGAGCAGGATGCAGGCAAACCCACGGCAGGAGTTATCGGCAGGAGGAGACCAGTTCAATACAACAGATGGGGCAGCTATCTCACCAGGTTGGAACCTACGTAGAGCATGGGCAGGGTCAGTCCCTTTCCTGTCTCTGAAGGACTCCTTCCCTGGCAGGGGTCACTTGATTTCTACCCAATCTCCTCCCCACCAGCCCAGTTCCCAGAGCAGCACCATTACCACTAGACTGTGACTCAGCAAGTTTCCTATCCCAGAATTCCTTGAGGTGTGGGAAATGACAAGTCCCAGGATGGTGCAGGCAGAGAGGTCTGAGCCCTGGTCGCAGACTCTGGAACTAGATGTGCAGTGTAGGGGGATTGGGAAAGGAGGCTTGGCTGGGAGTCAGAGGAGGGACAGATCCAGCTGGGAGGTCTCTCCAACTAGGCACAGAGCCCAGGAGTTCAGCCGTCTCCAGGCCCAGTCAGGCTCAAGACCAAGAAGAGAGCTGTAGAAAAGAATTCTGGGAAAGTGGAGGGGTCTGGGCAGCCACCATTAGGAGGATGTGTTTCTTTAAGGAAAGGGCCCCCTTTCTACCATGTTTAGAGGCAAGGCAAGGAGTCAGATGTTGGGAAGGAGATGGAAAGAGAAGAGGGGAAGGTTGTGAGAATAGAAAGGCAAAACTCCAGTTGTAAGAACTAAGACACTTGGGAATACTCCAACTCATGACAGGGGCACGAACAAGATAAAGGGACCCGTGTTAACTAGGCTCACAGTTTGAACCCACCAGTTGCTCTGCAGCAGAAGGGTGGGCAGTCTCCTCCCATGTGATTTAAAACCTCTAAAAACCTACTGGAAGATCAACTACAGGTGAGTTCCGACTTGATGATACTTAACAACAGTAATAGTAGAAGCCAGAATGGAGGCATATTGTTAGTAATTAACAAGATGTCACATTGCGTTCAGTCATGTTAGCCTTGCTGCTTCTGAAATGTTAAGACATTTTGGCCCTGTTTCCCTGCTTCTCATCAACTTGAAAAAAAAAAATAAATAAACTAAGAGATATTAAATTTCTTGTCTTTTAGTCACCCTTCACTGTTGTTAGCCAAAGCCATATTTGAAAGCTAATCCACTTATTAAGCATATCATTATCCTCTTAAAACTGATAGACAATAGTCTATGTTGTTGTTGTTGTTATGTGCCATCGAAGTCGTTTGTGACTCTTAGCGACCCTATGTACAACAGCCCTAAACCCTGCTCTATCCTGTGCCAATCTCATTGCCTCTGACACACCCATCCCGATTACCCCAGTCACTGAATCAATCCACCTCATAGAGGGTCTTCCCCTCCTGCGCTGTCCCTCTACTCTACCCAGCATGATGTCCCTCTCTAAAGACCTGTCTCTCCTTACAACATGTCCAGAGTATGTCAGACGAAGCCCCAGAATCCTTGCCTCCAAGAAGTAGCCTGGTTTAACCCTCTCTAGGATGAATCTGTTTTCTTGGCAGTCCGTGGTACATTCAATACTCTTCTCCAGCACCACAGCTCAAAGGCGTCAATTCTCCTTCTATCCTCCCTAGTCATTGTCCAGCTCTCTGATGCATAACAAGGTGTGATTGCAAAAACCATGGCCTGTATCAGGCGCACCTTAGTCTCCAAAGAGACACCGTTGCTCTTGAGTACTTTAGAGAGGTCCCTAACCGCAGACTTTCCCATCGCAATACGTTTTTTGATTTCCTGGCTACTGGTGCCAAGAGTGTTGACCGTGGAGCTGAGCAAACTGAAGCTATGAACAATCTCAATCTCTTCGCCATCCATCCTGATGCTGCCAGTTGGTCCAGTGGTGAGAATCTTTGTCTTCTTGACATTGAGCCTCAGTCCATACTGAAGGCTGCAGTCCTTGACCCTCTGCAGGAAGTGCATG